GAACGATCGCATTTGATACCCGATTAATTCGCTGGAACGTCAGTCGGTCATTTTGGAGTTGACGGCCTCTGCCGCCTTTGGAAAGGAAAATCCAAAACAAAACATAATGTTATCGAATTGTACATTTTACAACCTTTCTGTTGATATATAGTCTGTGGGGGTTTCCTTGAAAACAGCGCGCGTACGAATTTTTTTCTGGAGGACTCCCGCGAAGGTTTGAAGTAACCTTAATCACTGACTCGTTTAAGTTCTTCAAGCCAACTTTTAAGCTACCGAGGGTAAAGTTGAAGTAAACCTTGTATAAAGTTGGGGTTTGCCCCTGGGTGTTCGCTTTTTAACTTGATGAGCGTAAAGGTAGTGTAAAGCCCATCTTTAGGTAACGTAAAAGTAGCGTAAAGCTGTTTAAATAAGAACTTTACGGGAGCATTACGCCGGCTTTACACAGTAGTAAAGTTTTTTTTTTCATGCTGTGAACAATTAAGGCCTTATGCGTTCCATGGCGCAATGAGGACAGATGATGTGAACAGTTCTAAATAGACCATAGAGTATAATGTGTATGACGATTGTATGGACACCGATAATGACAACGTATACTTCATCGAGCTCCTTGAAGTTGAAGTTAAGACACTGAAACCATTCAGAAATATTTACAAGCAAAATACTACGTGTGACGATGAGATGAGGTGAGTGGTGCGTGTGATATCAAAGCCACATCCGCAACCTGCTGCAAAAACCGCTCAACCCAAGAATGCCGACGTTTTTGCTATCTGCATAACAAGGAGACCATCAACGTCAACCGACTTCAAGTTAACATTATGAGTCATCCTCCATCTTCTCAGGAGTGCGAACTCCCCTCGGTGAGTGAGCTGGTTAGTCGAACCTTTCTAGTTCATGAAGCTGTTCCCATGTGTTCCATGTGAGTTGCTGAACACACACCATACTCACTCGGCGTTTCCCAAGTCAGAGCCATGGCCGAAAGAAATATACGATGGGGGAATTCGATCGGTAGCCCCTCTTATAAGAAAAAATCTTCTGAGGCTCTGGTCTCGAGGGTCTTGTTCTTGTTTAAAGATGACTGACTTTTATTTTTACTTTACAGTTTTTCTCTAAATGAATCATCTATGACTCCAGACCTTTATCTAACTTTCCATAATAGATGTTTAAAGAAAATCTAATCTTGGTCTGTACTGAAGCACAAGGACTGATCCCTCCTAAAGAAATTAAAAGAAAAACAAACAAACAACCAAACAAAATGATCTTCAAAACAGACAAAAAAATGGGCTTCGATAGTTTTTGAGTAATACAATTTTCTTGTTCTTTCAAATCGTTAAGGTTTTACCGCTTGGTTCACATTTGAGACGTCTTCTAAATATCCGTGACGGACTTTGAGTTCACTCCCTCAGTTTGCATTTCATTGGCCTTTCCTTTACTCGTTGGAAAAGAGCAACGAACGAAAATGCCCGTTTTCGCCAAACACCGCTATATTACACGTCACCGGCAATCCTCTGAGAAAGAGGAAAATACAGGTCTGGACGAGGTACTGGACTACTCGGGCTGAGGAATTCTAAATGCTGAGGAATCCACAAGCTGACTAGAGCAAGACTTTTTTGATCAAAGATCTAAGGTCTTTATTTTTTTAAAGTTGCAACAGCCTCGACGGGTTTGGGTGAGGTATTTACCATTACCATTAAAACAGGAATTCGGTTCACTTGCCTTAACCCTCCATCTGGTCATGTACACAAATTCCAGAGTGTGATCTTTACCCATGATTTCTCCGTTACACATTACTTCAACCTAAGGAGATATGCCTGGTGAGTTACACTGATGCACGTTTTATGAGCGAATAGCCGTCGAGAGCACATGGGGCGCATTTACCTGGTCAGCGGTTTTGAGATTAAGCTTGACTTTCAGGAATTTCTTGACTTGTGCTATTGTCAGTCGTGATGAACAGCGGATGTATTTACGTTCCAGTTCTCTCACAGGATGCTCGGCCTGAACTGAGTCGTCACTAAAACAGAACAATCTCAGTCTCAGTTCCTTTGTTGACTTGTTTGTTTTTTTGTCACATTGATTGATTGATCGATCGATTGATTGATTGACTGGCTGACTGGCTGACTGGCTGACTGGCTGACTGGCTGACTGGCTGACTGGCTGACTGGCTGACTGGCTGACTGGCTGACTGGCTGACTGGCTGACTGACAGACAGACTGAATGACTGACTGACTGACTGACTGACTGACTGACGGCTTGACTGATTGACTAATTGATTGACTGACTGACTGACTGACTGATTGATTGATTGATTGACCGCAAATGTAAAGACCTTGATGTAGCCAAGCACAAAGAAAACGATCGCTTTGCTGACTAAGCAAGAATGTTGGCAAGATAGAGCAGCTAAGTGTTTAGTTACATAAGAGTTTCAGCAAATCATACATCAGACACTCCAGGCAAACTCCAATCTGAGGGTCATCGCGGTGATAGTTCTCTTCGGTCGCTGATAGCTTTTTTCGCTTGTTCGCAGGCTCGGTTGCGGAATCTGAAGCTGAGGAAACATCAAAGCAATGGGAGTTTGTTACTCAATTACCAATCTATATAGTCTCAGTGCTCAGCAAGCAGGGCATGGCCTATACAAGAATACACGGGGACCTGCCATTTGTTGATCCATAACCTTAAACTGTTGATCGTCTTTCTCATCAACTGTTCGAAGAATTTGAAAGTACGTTAAATGGTTTTAGACTCGAACATACCTTTCTAGTTATTTTTCGAAAAATCAGTGGATCGAACAAATACTCGTCTAATAATAACAGCTAAAGGGTCTCAGTGGACATGGTTGCACAAGATAACAAATTGAAAGACCATATCTTGAGCTAACAACTGAAGGTCATTGCTAAGCCACAAAAGAAACCCATGTACCGTATTCTTTGGTTTCTTCTGCCTCTTTTGTTTTCTTCTCGTTCTCAGAGTTGAGCTGTTCAAGGAATTCTCTTTCTCGTCTCTGCTCACCTGCAAACAATTAAAGTTTTTGGGTTTTGAAAATTTTTAACGTGTCACTGTACACAAGATAAGTTGTCGATACTCTGAAAATCCTAAATAACTCTCAATTTCAGGCCATAATTAAAATAAGAACACAAACACTTATCCGACTTTTTAAAATTGGATTTTGAAAACTTCTTAGCCAATCACAAATAGGCGACAAGCGCGTACGCAATAATTTCACATTTTATTGCCATGAGACTATTTCTGTGACCAGTCCCACGATCCAAACTAACTTTTCATTGCAAAGGATGTCATTTCCCTAAATTAGCCTCACCGACGAGTCGATCATAACGACATTACACATATGCCAGATAGGCCGGTTTGGATCTTAAGTTATTAGTTACAGTCTTCATATAACGTCTTACGTTCTTGCAGTTTGGGAACAAGTTTATGAATAATATCTTCCAGAGTTTTATCGGACCTGTCAATCAAACAACACACATGACCATCAGTGGTGAACATTTGAGCAACCAAAAAATACAGTTAAAATCCGCGTGTAAAAACCTAGATGTTTTAAAAGAACCTGCTGGTTGAAATTTGCCATTTTAATACCCAAAAATATAAGAACCTGGGTCTTATATGTTACATTTAAATTATGATAAACATTTTAACCAAGGATTGCATGGACTTTGAGATTGCAAATTTATATTACAATAAAATACATAATACAGTTCTGAATAAATAGTGTATATTCAAGGACCAAACACAAGTTTATTTATTTTTTCTGGCAATAAACAACTATATATCCTTCATAGAAATTAAGAACCAAATTGCCAAAAACTACCCCAAAATACAAGAAACTATTTTGCCAGACTTCAAAAAATGTAGGTTTTTACAAGCGATTTTTTGCTGCAGTGGAAACCGAGATAGCTCGTACAAGATTGAAACACAAAACTGAAACGAAAACCAAAGGAATTTTTCATGAATAGCTTAAACCTCCTAATACAAGAATACATGGCATGCCCATTAGTCATAGTACGAGACTGGTCTTAATGAGGCGTTGAGACGTACAAGTGATATGCGAGTGCTGTTTTATAAGCAACACTGTTTGTAGATACCTGAGTAAGTCGAATGGATTGGTTTCGTGAATCTGAGATGAGCAACTGGGGCAGTTATTGTCGTCGCTATCTTGTAAATATTTCACGATGCACGACCTGCAGACTGTCAAAATGGCACAGTTGGTGAAGTCATTTTAACACGTAATCATCAGAAAGTACTGCTATTACTTAGTAATACTTTCAATCAGAGTTCTTCTGATTGAAGTCTCATACATTTTCTTGTTTCACTGTAAGTGGGCAAGTCATAGCGGTATCCATCAACTGAATAGCATTCAACTAGAAATCGCCATTTTGTTTTTCGATTAACAAAATTAATCTACCATCAGCGACGTACTCAGAACACCTCTGGCAGCAATATGTTTTAGTTTAAGAAGTCTTTTTAAACCTTCAAAGAAGCTACCTTGCGGCAGGGATCAAATTTGCTGGTCATCTAATCTCAGTTGAATTCGAACTGCACTATTTATTTGTTCACAACGACATCTATTACTTCTTTTGACTGAAGAAGTCACGAATTTGAAGTCTTTACTCTCCATGCAATATAGATTTTATCGTTGTTGGTAATCTGTTTATAATGTAAAGCTTGTTTCTTCTGGTGTACGTTATTATTTCCTAGGATTCAGAATCAATACTAAACTTTAAACAATTTAATATTTTCAATGCAGCTGCCAGCGACGCGAAGCATTCCTGTTGGCATGGGTCCCCTGTTGGCGGTGAAATGTAAACTTTTAGTCATTTGAAAAGCAAAATCCTGGTCTTGTATTTGCTGAGCTGTTGTGTAAAAATAATCTAATACCATTGTCTGGAAAGCGTCGAAATTGCGCCACCTTATGAATAATTCTGACTAACAAATGCAGAAACATTTGCAAATCATGGTTTGAATGGATTTTTAATCTTCGCTTCCAAACATCGCCTAAAATTAAAAACTTGATGTTTCGACGGAGACACCAGCCACGTAAAAGCAGTAGGCAAATTAAAATGGAGGTAGAAGCAAATAAAGAATTTTCCACTGGCAACGAAACAACTCTTCATCATTTCATCTCCGCAAGTTAAACTAAACAATGAAATGAATAGTGTTTGATGAGAAGCTCAAGCAGGTGTTTTTATTTCCCTTTTTCTACAGTCTCGCGATAAATAGAAAATGACTGAATTATTATCTTAGCCTTGTTCTTCTTTTTCGTTCACGAAAATTCGATACCGTCTCATGGCGAGTGATTGAACTCCCAGAAGCGAACAGAGAGGAAATGTTCCGGCGAGAATATGGGTTTTTTTTGTTTATCGCGACTGAATTATTGTCGTTTGTAACAATGCATAGTGTTCAACCAGTACCTACATGTGTGAAGACATTCTGTGATCGTTGTCGGCTTGATCAAATATCCTCTGCAAATCTCGCATGTAATAAACGAGTTGAGATCTTGAAGCTTGAGTTTTCTCTCCCTGTTTGACTAATAGAACATACAAATCACAGATACTGGCGGGCATCAACGAGTACGTTAACAGGTTTCTAAAGTATTAGTCGGTCGAATTTCCGAGCTAATTTTTAAAACTATTTGTAAACAGGTGTCTGTATCATAAGAAAGCAACCACGTCGATCGGCAAAACATTATTTTTTTAAACTGTTACTGTTTTATAATTCTCTCCTCTATAATTAAGGCAGTGGAGTAAATTCAATGGCGCCATTTCGCGAAATTTTGCTTCATACAGTTGTTTTTGTTAGTGATTAATGCAATCGAGTCCTCGACCGACTGATTATGATTAGCGGGGTATTATAAAGGTAACGAACTAAGTGATACTAGATTTGTACTGATTTGTAACGTGTTTTAGCCCTATATAACTGGATGGAAATTAAAATATCATTACAAATTGGAAGGAAGTGGGGAAAGTGCACTCGATGGTATAATTTTGTTTTTTACAAGGAATATTACAGGCCCCATTGTGGTTTTCTTTTGTCGAGCATACGTCATAAATTTCATTCTTGCCGATTCATGTTTTGTATTATCGACGTACAGGTTCCAACCGGTAGTTAAATGTTGTTATTCAAGTTGCAACTTCCTGCCTAGAAAGTGCCTTTTTTCTACCAGAAAATTCTGTAAACAAGAGCTAAATGGATTCATGAAGTACGCCAAATTAATAAGCATTACGTTAAAGTAGTAGTGTAAAAAATTCACGTTGTTTCAGTTTCCTTTACCTGTAGAACAGCCATTTGAAATTGGACAGGTTTTGCACACTTCCAAGCTCTTCTGTATATTGTGACAACGCAACTTATCTCCTGTTGCCTTCCATTCATGTGGTCTGCGGTCGCGAATGAAGAGAATTCCCGGATAGAAAAAAGCGGCCGATTGGACGAATGAATCTTCAGCTGGAAATGTCTTAATACTCATCGAACCCTTAGACGGCTGAGAATTAACTTAAAAAATTAACCTGCAATCAACGCTCCAACTTTAAGTCACCGGATGTATTAATTGTCCCTACCGCTTAACATTTCGTTTAGTTGCTACGGGACCGCGCGTCTACAGAAATATTCTATCGCTCAAAACAGATCCACGTTTCTTTGTTTTCTGCTGACATCAGAAAAAAAAAAACACTCCGTTAATTTGATCCTATGGTTTTTAAAATTTGGAAAAACTTTTGTTTAAAAGGACAATATTTGCACAACGACAGATGTCGCAGATGCAGAGCAGGTTATATTGATATGTAAATATCCAGTCACGACCGTATGGACCCCTAAACGCGGAAAATATCCCTAACATTATACAACATTTATAATTACATATATCTATACATTGATAACAAAAAGCACCCGTCAAAGATCGGAAAAGGTGCGCGCTCTCGAAACTGAAACAAGAGCATTTAAGATGTGGATTCCCTGGTTAATTATAATACTCTGCGTCTCTGCATTAATTAATAACGGTTGCTATTAAAACGTGGTTTCCGCAGCTATTTTCTCAAATCACAGACCATATGTACTTGAGCAAAAGAATAATCCATGCTTTCGTCTAAAATTGTGGTCAGCTAGTAAGGCATAGTTCCCACTAACGACATAATGACACAAGAAGGACGTTATGTTTACAGTGTAAACATCCCGTCATAATGACATAATTAATTAGCAACATAACAGCATATATGAAAATAACGACATGAGGAAAAACTGACCTTTCCTATGTTTTTGTGTCGATGTTCACATTGCGACTTAAACACGCGTTATGTCGATATGTCGATACGTCGTTATGTCGTGATGTGGTTACGTGGTTATGTGCTTTTATATAATAATTAAATGAATGCGCGCGCTCTGACTGGTCAATCAGTTATAGTTTATTGTGCCAGTAAACTCATGGAAATTTCGCGTGTCTTCTGAATTATTATTTAAAAGCAACAGACCACAAGTTTTTATGGTTTAGAGGCATGATAAACCACTTGGGTTGTTGGAAGAACACTCAAAAAATTCGTAAATCACGAGCCGCAGGCGAGTGATTTACGAATTCTTTGAGTGTTCTTCCAACATCCCGGAAAGTTTATCAGCCTATAAACCATAAAAACTTGTGGTCCATTGCTTAAATGTCGCTATGTCGTTATGTCGCTCGTGTGAGCTAGGCCTAAAGCCTGGTCCACACTAGCCGAAGCGACATAATGACATAACGACATCGTCACGAACGACATAAAAAGGACGTTATCTCGTTTGTAGTGTGAAATGTAGACATAATGACATATTAGCAACATAACAGCATGAACATAACGACATAAAAACTGATCTTTTCCTTATGTCGTTATGTCGCTAGTGTGAACCAGGCTTAATTCTTCACAGTAAACACAGAAGAGTGTGAAGTAGCTTTTTCAACCATATTTTGTCTCTGATCGTAAATCTAAACCCGTCCTCTGTCTTCGGTATTGCATTTGTAACAAGTGTATAAGCCCCACGAAGTTTTAAAAGCATTGCAAAACTATCGAGAAACTCCATTTCAAACCATTGCTGCAATTCTGCCAGGAGTGAATCGACATGCAACCTGGAAAGAAAGCTCAATGACTACATTGGGACACTGGTCAATGAATACATTGAATTCCTCTTTCGCAAACCTGAATCTGAGTGAAGCAATTTACTGAATGTTAACCTCAACAGGTATGCTTCCTTGGCGTTTGGCAGCTAGGCTATAAAAACCTCGAGCAATAAAAGTTTTTATCTCTGTTTTCTTGTTCGCACTTACTGTTTTACGTGTAAACTGGACATAGTTCAACAATAATCTGATCCCATGGGCCTTAGGGTAGCTTAAAACAGGCATCCAAAGTGTACTTGTGCCACAGTACAACCTGACAGAACTACTCAGTACCAGTAGTCACACACTAGGTTTCACTGATATAGAAGTAAAAGCTGGGACCATGTTTAATTACATATTATAAGAAAGAAGTTAGATTCCCGCTCAATAGCTGTTTTTATAAACAGCATGGAAATGCAAATTAAAAAAAGGGCGCGCTGCGTATAAAGCAGGATTTCCTTTTTATCGTGAGTACATAAGTGTTTTCCTCAGACACCACAGGATGCTTTAAATTTGACGAGAATGGGCGTTTTAAGATACAGCGTGACCCAGAGCACAAGCACTCCAAATTCTGTCACTTGGAATATGCGCCATGTAGGTAAGCAACATCCCCGCTGAAATCCGCGGGCTTATCAGGCCTAGCTCTCACTGACAACTAAAGAAGATTTCCTTGCCAAGTTACTGATGTGTGGGATTACAAGATTCGCGACAACTCACAGCTGCTGTTGAACTGTGTACTCGTGGGTCCTCTCCCTTTGTTCGAAAACTCGATTAGAGGACTCTTCTTCCGACCGAGCGGGGCCGTAGCAACAGGCAAACCGAGGCACCTGCCTCAGTTAGTTTGTTTTTTTTTTCTTTGTTTATAGTCTTCATAAACACCCTAAATACATAGGAAGATAATTTATCCATGCACATTCGGCCCTACTGAGCTCAACCAACACGTTCAGACCAGAAAGTTCCCATTCTCGATGTCCCAAGATACGGCGATCCTTTTGGTCAGCACCAAGAATCTCGACTTCCTGCTAGACCCAATTTTCTGAGCATGTGCAGAGTATTCGCTTCGTTTTCCCAGCCAATCAGATTCGTCAGATGAGAAGGGATATCCATGAATCGATAATTTCTGGTGTTTTACCCTCCCATAGGTCGCGATACTAGGTGCTGACCAAAAGGATCGTGGCCTCTGGTGACGAGAATGGAAAATACCTTATAAGTCTTAGAAACCTAAACTAACTATTAAGCTGCACAAACGCAAAATACCTTCCAAATAGTCTCTCAGCTTTTACTTGCACCTATAATTTGAAGTTTTTTGTTTACTTACTTTTACTTGTTTACCTGTTTTTGTTTATCTGGAAGTTTAACTTCCTGCCTAAACGCTATTTCTTGTTAAAAACTGTCAGTATTGTTTACAGCGTATTTTTGATAAGCTGATTTTTTCTCGCCTGCTTATGTCTTTAATAGATTATAACTAGTTTCAGTTAAATTCTAAAATTGATTCTTTTTTCGCCAGTGAATTCGTACAAAACAAAATACATTGATATGTTGCTGAGAAAAAAGTGTTTGACTAGAACGAAAACCAAGGACTTACTGTGAAGTCACCTTTCACTGAGAGTGAAAACATTGTCTTAAATCGAAAACCGCGTTAATTTTCTTGTTATTTTCATTCTCCAAGTCCTTTATTTTCTTTTGTATGTTTCCGCCTCGCAGCTTAAAGTTTGTTCTCAACGCGGATTAAGTTAAAAGGATGTACGAGTATTAATACAGAGCTGAAATTACAGAAGGCGAGTTTTTCATCGCTTTTGTTATTACCACCGAATTAGCGATTCTTCTCCAGGTTTCGGGTATGAAAAATAGATGCATTTTAAATATGATTAGACACCTGAAAATAAAATTCGTAATAACATAGAATTAAAGCACCTTGCAACTCAATCTAATATTTGAAAGCGGTCATTTCTGGTAAAAACAGAGAACATCAAAATTTTTCCAGTTTTGGAATTTTCAAGGTGGTTTCTCGTTGAGTGCTTTTGTTGACTTATGAAGAAGAATAGTGGGTAATTCTTTTCTGACAAATATGGTTATATTTATGAACGAAACGTAAATATACTTTTAAATCGCCGTCAATTCAGACGGCTCTGTAATTAGCAAGCAAGAGCGGAATAAATGATAGGCCATAATTTGGTTCCGTGTTGTATGAGAAATTTTCTTCGTGTACTAATTGGATTCTCTTGTTAATCGCCGCGAATTAATTCTGATGGGACGTCAAACGTCACAAATTAAGTGCAGCCAATTAAAAGAGGAGATTTTAAGTGCTTTAGCAAGCACCGCGGGAAATAAGGGGCAATCTATGGAATATTTATCAAAATCACTAGAAACTTTGAGTTCCTATAGAGAAGAACAGGCATTAAGCATAATGGAAAATCAAGCTTTGTAATCAGCAAAATCTGTGCCTGTTCTAAGAATCTTTTTCGACGTTCAAATTGTTTACTCGCACTAATGTAGGCTTTTACGGGTAGACACAAATGTTTGCGATAGCAAGTAGAGTCAACAGAGAAGCACCTTTTAAAGTAGTAACTCCAGGAACTCTTAAAGAGTATTCGTTCTTACAATGCAGTTAAGGATTTTCTATGTTCACTCAATTAGTGACTTCTATGACATGTGAATAATGTTTTAGTTGGTAGTTATACTTGCACGCAAAATACGACAATAAATTCGGTGTTGAAATATTAATGGCCAAAACTAAATTTTAGGACAAATTTGCTAAAGTCATTTCGCTTTATGTTACGAATATCAACATAGTGATTGTAAGCAAGGTTTGCCGACCGCAGTTCTTCAATTGCCCTTTGAGATGGAATTTAGGAACACAGAAAATGCTTTTTATGTGATCGTGAAATGAAGCGGAATTGTTTTTGTTATTTGTTCCTTTTGCTATGATTGTACCTAATCTGAAGCCCAAGTATTTGTAATAATAACTAATCAAGAAAAGAACCTAGAATTCCCAGACTCCCCGTGCAGTGTGAATAATTACAAAACAATTCACTGTTTGTGATGTTTCGTGCGACTGAACAGTTAAGGCACGATTATTAAACAATTTAAGAGTAAAGCAACATTTTGTACCGGTTTCAGTGAAAGGCTAAAAGCTTGTTACACAGAAATTTTTTTAAAATCTGCTCGAGCGTCAAAGTCCATTAGCAATGAAGAAAAAAAAGTACTTAATCAGTTAAAGACATAACAAGAAAGATACATGGGAAAATTAGATAAGTCATTTGCCAATGAAGAAAGATGGAAAAGCTTTAAGATCCTTATTAAAAATGTATAAGACAAGGAGTAATAAGGGGTCACCAAGCCACTAAAGACTTGTCATTGTCGATGAAAATTCCCGAGGAGCGTTTGAAAACTAATTGGAACAGAAACAGCCCTAAAGAAGCCCACTGAGTTGCGCTGTCAAATGTCGCTATAAGTTCAAGAGTTTTTTGCTTCATTCCCGGCTTTTATAAGTAGATAGCTTTGATCTTGCTTTCATTGAACCTTTTTAAGGTGGCAGTGTAATTTTCGTACGCTCTCGTTCCCTGGAAGAAGTTTAGTGCAAAGGTCTTCCTGTACAAGTGTACCCTTTAAAGTTCAGCGTCCAAGTTCTCAAGTTGTTGCCGTGCTAAAACAAAATGCAGGACACCACAACATCGGAATCACCTTCCCCGAGTACATACCAGTCTCGTGAAGACAATAAACCGCGCAGATCTCCTCCGCCTCTTGTATCCATGGACGGAACTCGGAGAGACTCTCTTGTTGGACTTCAGAGGCTTGTCTACAGCTCGCAGATATTTACGCATTCACGAACGTCCCAAGAAGATGCTCGACCAGTAGCCAACATTGGCGAAAACGTGGTAGAAGTAAAACCAGGTATTTCCCTTCTTATTTTGACTTTTAAAGATCCGTGAACGTTTACCGGTAGTTAAGGATATTTATTTCGTAACCGGAGACACTTAAGAGCATCATCAAGACCATTAAAAAATGAATTGTTTCACTCTATATGGGTATGGCACAGACCACATTTACAAGAAGTCAAAAACTGACTTGTTTAATTCTTCCCATGACAAGGCACAAGAAACCAAAAGCTCTGAAAATTTCTATCAAAAAAACGCTAAAATTCTTTCGCTTGTGCTTTAAATTACCATTATTTATTATGCTTTTTAATGATTCATGATTTGTCACAAAGTAATATTTTCACTCAGCACGAAATCATCATTAAGGTTTTAATCATTCCACAAGAGGTCCTCGCCGCGCGTTTTTCACTCGACAACACATGTGCCCACGACAGGTCCATACACAAGATATCTTACCATGGCGGTTAAGGACACGAAAGAGGCATTTGTGATGTTCACGATAACATAAAAATCCTGAATGTTGAGGTTTCTTAAGTAGAAATATAATTGATATTGCACATAGCTGTCATGAATTTGTTCCTGCGAGTTGACCATAGCACAGCAGTTAAACTCGAGAGCAAATAAAATGACTTTTATTCGCCTGGTGGATACGTTATCAGCGAGTCAATAAAGACGCGTTTTTCCTTGTCGGTTTGATAAGTAATGGCTAGAAAATCGCGGACAAAGGGAGGAAATATTGGTAATTATTTTTATTCATAAATAAACGATGTTCGGATTTTAAAAGATAATTCTATTTCCTTTTCGACAATTGAGAAATTAAAAAGAAGGTACCTATGAATCTCATCAAATTTTCCTTGTGTCAGTATATTAAAATACCGTCTTGGAAATGCTAAAAGATGAAATCATTTCTTTGTTTTGTTAATAGAGTTTCGGTCTCTTCACTTTGGCAAAAATTATGGGTCGCGCCCGGTGAAGCATTTTACTCTTCCGCATAGCTAGCAGTGCACCTTTTTTTTTTGATACAGATCTTTTCAAATAGAAATAAGAGCAACCATGCACGGGTCAACAGGAACTGGACTGGGTAGAGCATCCTTTTCGGCAAAATCTCCTGGGAGTACTCAAGGTTACCGCGGCGGAAAGTTATCAATGATGTCAGTCTTGCTAACATTCTCATATCCTAGTCAACTTTCATAGCCTCGAGGACCCGTTAACAGGCTTTCCTTTTACAGAGGAAGGCGACGGAAAGAAGGGCCTCCTAGAGTATAGACCCGCGGAATTATTCCACCGGAAAAAAAAACAAAAAAACAAAAAAAACGATACTTTCCCCTTTGGGCTCAATAAAAACGGTTCAGTGTTGCATTGTTCAACGTGAAGGATACTCGCGCACCTTTCCAATCATGCAGACAGCGAAAATGCAAAGAATATTTGCACATGTACTTTTCTCTCGCACACTAATTATTTCGCGAACTTGCTGGGGCTTTTAACATGGGCTTTTAACATCGGTCCCTTTGGAAAGTTTTGTGGAATATCTGGGTTATTTGGCTGGTCTGTTGCGAGCGCCATAATCAAGGTTTAAACTTCATTCGTTTTAAGACTGAATAATGAACCGTACACTATCATAAAGCAGTTCCTTCTTATTGTACAAAAACTCCGCGAAACTTGAAGCCCATCCCTAAACTTTTGAAATGAATTCGAAAATAAGAAAATCCTTTGTTTAAACAAGTTTTCTCCAGAAATTTCAATCTCTGCCTCGCTGTACTGAGTCATTTTTACTCCCTAATGGGTTCCTGTCTGCTCTGTTCTACAACTGAAATAAAAACACTATTGCTGTGTTTTCCATGATCTTTGATTCTTTCTTAGATACTAAAATTGCCATTCTTAGACATCAGCAAATTCCAGTGCTGTCATGAAATACAGAATGTCTTTTTTCTCATCAAGTCACATTCATCACAACCTTCACCAGTAATACTTTAACTGGGCTGGTAAGATAACATGGTAGCAAGAATGTCATTGTGCAAGTGCATAAAAGCAATGTGCTTATGCTGTTAATTTGTTCGCTATGTTGTTAGGTCCCAGGCCCGTTCATTCACAGCCCCGGTCAAGTCTCCCGAGTCCAAAGCCCAAGAGAAGCAGAACTTCATTCACGCCTGCGCAGTTAGAGCGACTGGAAGAGGAATTTTCAGTGGATATGTACGTGGTTGGTTTGAAGAGAATGAAGCTGGCTAACGAGTTAAACCTGTCCGAAAGACAGGTTAAGGTCTGGTTCCAGAACAGAAGAATGAAGTACAAGAGGGAAAGGGCAAAGACCAGATCAGACGGAGGAAAATGATGTCACTGTGTTGCCAAGGCAACCTGTTCTCAATATACAGCATGTTTATATCTATATACCTTAAATCGTCGCTTGATTTTGTAAATACCAATACCTGTACATTTTGAGTTCATATTGCGAAAAATTGCCACGGGTTGGTAGGATGTGTTCTTTTAATAAGCTACTGTACATTTAAAAGGGACACTTAACCCTGTAAAAATCAATTGAAAAAGCGTTATTTCGTCCCCTTTACTAGCATTAAATCATTCAATAAGCCTTTCTCCAATTAAAGGCGAACAATCAAGGGCCTGATAGCAAGTTTACAAGGATTCAAACAGCACTCTCCCATCCCCGGAATAGTCTGAGCCCGCAATTTGAAGCTGGAATGTTGCTAGGCAACCTGCAGACTGCACAAAGATGTTGCCATATTGACATGAAACCTAACGAAGAGCTAGCGTTAATATTGAGTGAAGTGATTTGAGGGTTTGACCAATTGAACATCAGAGTGTTCTCCCGGTACGCTACACATATAAGAACAAACACCCGCGATTACCAAAAGTGTGTCTTGGTATTTATCGACGCAGAAAATTCAACTGTACACTAAGCAGAAAAAATTCCGGTGAGAATGCACCTCTTTACTTCAGGTGAAATAAAGCAGTGGCGGTGTTTATAGTTACGTTTGTATGGTGTGTTAAAATATTTAAGTACAATAGATAACAATCAATTAAACAATCTCAGTTAGTTAATCAATTATCATTCAGTCGATCGATGCATCCTGTAAACAATCAATCAATCAATCAATCAATCAATCAATCAATCAATCAATCAATCACGAATCAATTAACCAGGCAAGCTGGCCACAAGCAAATGGGAACACTCAAGCCAGCAGCTAAGATTGTTGCTTTCGCTGTAATTTTCTTTGAGAGCTAGACAGGTTGTATTTTAAAATTCGCAGGAGGTGGACGTTCCTGTTGGGAATGACAGTAACCCTGCCACTGAGACACAAGCGTTCCGCTCCCCTTCATTTCACACTGCAAAGTGTGGAATAGCCCGCAGACGGCACCTGATTGACGGTTAACCTTGCCAACACATAACACAGACCCCTGCTGGGAGTGCCGGCCTTGCGAAAAGATGAACATTAAGCATGAACAGGGCTGCACAAGGATTAACTGTAGCTCCGTTCAGGGCACAGTCTTAGCATATGTATCTGGAATGAGGTTAAAATGCTTGAGCATCCAACCATCAAACAGTGTTGTTTGTTTTGAATGTATTGCATTTAAGAGGAAAGTAATTTACGTTAGTTTGAGCAGAGCGAATTAGAACGTAACCAAGTTTTCCTCCTTCCTAGACAAATCAGGAGAATAAAATTTTGCTGTGGAAAACCAAATTACCAATCGTATCAGTCTCCAGCATGCATGTACTATAGCCTTCCTTTCCTCTTCGATTAATACAACGTTTCAGTCATACGCTTTCATAAACATTTTTTTTTTCTCTTCCCTACCTTTGCATATTATTTTAAAAGTTTGATTTTTCTCTTATCACAAGGCAAATACATCCTCTTTCTTGCGGTGTAAATTTCTATATAAAATCATTTGTTATAAAAAATATAATACTCTCGGGCTCCTCGTTTCGAATTCCGGAACACCTTGAAAATTCATTTTCTTTCCACTTCTCTTGCTCACACTCGATAATATATAAAAGTAATCTAATTAACGTTTCCTAGTGCCCAGCTCTTATTGCAGGACGACACAATTCGATTTATTTCCACTTCTTGGATTCATACTCTTTTATCTTAATTCTGAAATCCTCACTTCTTTTTCCAATCTCCAGCCCCTGACTGCAGGCCTTGGTTTACTCAGAGATAAAAGACAAAGTTGGTTCATTTTTTGGCGGGCCTTACCAGTTTGACCTCACTGTATCAAGCTGATTGGATAGTGTGCTCCCAGTGACGTCTCGAAAAGTTTGGAGGCCAGCCGCCGAATGTGTTTGACGGCGAACTGGACTGGGACCAAGCCAACATGAACACACATCAGTTCATAACAACGGATGGTATTCGCAGGGGAGGCCGGGAAGCATCGCTTCGTTAAGTCCCTAAAAAGAGATGAAAGCATCAAACACACGTATTGCAAAACAATTGCCGTTCTACGCTTAAACTATTGGTACAACATTAACGTAATACTGGTACAACACTAGCTAGCACAGTATAAGCACGATATTGTCAGTTCTTGGTACTACTCACTTGTAAAATGAGCTCGACATAATTCCAGGGGGTGGAGAACCAAGAAGGACTGGCAACGGGTTTTGCAGTTGAACCGGGTTCCCGGATGTGTCTTCAAACCACAGACAATACGTGAACAGAAAATCTCCGTCACGGACAGCTATAAAAGTGTGACCTGGAAAGTAAAGGTGCCATTAAGACACCGAGTTGAATGAGTCCCGGGGGGGGGGGGCACTGCCATATATGGGCTATATAGGTATGTGCCGCTGTGAAGGGTATGGTTTTCAAGCAGTTTACTCTAGGATAGGGTATATAAATCTGACTAGTTGACTAACTGGTTGAAGATTTTATCTAGACTAAGGAAACCAGGAATTGCCACTCAAAAATATAAAAAAATCAAATCGGCAAGTTTAAATTTACGCAAATCAGCCGCAATAGTGTCGATAGATGGGGGGATTTGGGGAGTTTACTCTAGTATAGGGTAGCAAAATTCAGCTTAACTAGCTCTGGTATAGGCTGAGGGTTCCAGGGTCCCAGCGGCACATCCCAAACCAGAAATTCCCAAAGTACGGCCACCCCCCGGGGAATGAGCTTAGACACCCAGCTAGAGGTGAATAATGGTGGATACTTACCGAGCAGTAAATATGAATGAATATACGCCCACATATCCCATATTTTCTGTTTAATAACATAGCACGGGTCACGTGAGTCCCGGATCTTACTACGCGTTGTGTTTATGGAAGGCGCGGTCACTTGGTCACTGCTACGATCCACGTAAATAAAATGAACCAACCCTGGAAAGTCCTCAAGATAGCGGAGAAATATTAAGGAAAGTAACTCTCCATGTTTGAGTCTCGCTTATTAGCGGAATGTAGAATTGAGTACGAGCACGAGATCGAGAGCAACTTTTAAATTCTAGTTTTACCTGACGCTTCAAATTATAATAATCACTTCACATACCCATCCCATCTCATGAGCTACCCTCTCTACCTACTCGGTTCTACCTAAAACCAACATGAAGAGCAGGGGATCTGAAAACGCCACTGGTTTGAAATTCGAAATTCGAAAATCGTACTCGTAGTGCAATCTAAAGGTCCCTATTATCACAAAGTTTCCATAGGTTTCTACCGTGGGGAATCTTTGGTAACAACGAGAGAGCTGATATATTTAGTTGCTAAAGACACTTTGCATTGTTTTATTAAATAAACAGAATGAATGAATGAATGAATGAATGAATGAATGAATGAATGAATGAATGAATGAGTGAGTGAGTGAGTGAGTGAGTGAGTGAG